CCAACTGATGAAGTTCCTTCAGCTGAGGCAGAGCAGGAGACATTTGATGCTGATGTGGAAGATCAGGAACAAAAAGACCAACAATTCACCCAGCGGCGGTCTTACCAGAACCAGCGTGGTGGTCGTGGTGGCGGCAGGAGGGGCAATCCTAATGGCCGTGGAGGGCGTGGTGGCCGAGGCGGTGGGTACCAGAATGGCCGTGGGGGTGGCGGATACCAGAACGGCCGCGGCGGAGGCGGTGGGTACTACTATGAATCTGGATACTACCAGCCGAGGAACTACAACAACAGAGGCCGGGGTGGTCGCTCGGGCGGTGGCAACTCTTACTACAACAACCATGGTGGAGGTGCACAGGGAGGCGGCCATGGGCATCCTGGGAGAGTTGAGCTGGGTGCAAACGCCTAGCTCGCTGACTGTTTTGTTTGAGGATGTGGAGCGAGGGAGGGGAGCCATTTTGTTATTATAGAACTAACTTAGCCTGTTATTACGCCACCGTTGGCCCCATCTGTGAGTTGTTTTTGCTACTCGAGTGACTGCATATGGTCGGTCGGTAATGTGGAAAAACTCCGGGAAAATAGTTTCAGGTCATATTCGTTCTCCTAAGTTACGCCTTTTATGTGTTAATATGCCCCTATTTCTTCATTATTATACTCTGTGCTGGAGGAGTGGAGGTGTCGATGTTGTCACCAGATTTTGTCGTTTCATCAGGTTGCTACTCCCTCTGTTGTATCTAAATATCTGTTCTTTGTGCTTTCTAAGAAACAACTTTAATCAAATATATATTAAAAAATATTTATATTTATGGCACATAATTAATATTATTGAAAATATATTTGAATCTAGTTTTTTAATAAATTTATTTAAAGATATAAATATTGCATGTATTTTCTACCGATCGAGTTAAATTTGTGGCACACACATCAATGGTGAAAGATATTAAAGGACGGAGGGAGCATGTTCTATGGGATCTTCGCAGCATGAAAAGGTGATTGTTGACCCTTTGCTTGGCCGCGAAGTCTTTTGTTGCAAACGCTTATACCAAACCGAACCACGCTGGTTATTAAGAGTTAAGACGGTACACGGATGTTTGATGGCTCCTATAGAGATTGTCGTATTGTTGGCTCCATCTAATCTGTCCACTTTGTCCTATTGGTGCTCGTCCATTCATTGCTTGCACGCCTGCCTTGTTTGTCCTCTTTGTTTAAACAGTGGCAGTCCGGTGAGTTGTTCTGTTTTTAACTTTTGTATGACGCTAGTGCCCAGGTCACCTGCAACGGCTCGTACAAGGTCGAGCTGAGGCTACATGCTTTCAACGACGGCGACACGAAGTGGTCGTGTCAATATATTATTACTCCTGCTTGGCTGTCTGCCTAGCGTTTTGATAGGATTTGATCAGACAGCTGACCTAGCCCGTGTTTAGTTGAGTGAAGTTTGAAATTTGGGATACTGTAGCATTTTTATTTTTATTTGGCAATTAGTGTTTAATCATGGATTAATTAGGCTTCAAAACGTTCGTCTCGTAATTTACCACCAAACTGTGCAATTAGTTTTTTTTCGTCTACATTTAATGTTCCATGTACGTATCGTAAGATTCGATGTAATGAATACTGTAGCACTTTTGAGAATTTGAAGGAGAAACTAAACAGGGCCCAGTAGAGATGCCAAAGAAAAAACCACAAGTTCCTTGTCTTCTCAGAAGAGAGGACGTAGCAGCAGGATCAACCGGACAGGAACGTGGTTGGTTCCAGCTCTCACCTGACCATTTCTTACCCACCCATCCCCTAGCTGATGCTACACTTCTCGAGTAGCAAGTAAGACAACCTTGTTTTTCAAGCCCTTTGATTTGATGATCGCGCACGAAAGGCTACTAAGTAGGTACTGTGAGAAAGAGGACACGGTAATGTAATTTTGTCTGGCTCGCTTTGGCATCGCAGGGCGCAGAATCATGATTAGCCGCTGCACGTCGCTTCATGCCGCTATCATGTTGGCTCCCATCCCTTTTGTGCTCTGGTTTGACTGGCCACGGCCGCTGCTCGCTTTGCCGGGTTGCCCCTTGTGGCTCCTGCCCGCAGCCCGCTGTGTAATCTCGACGGCGCCTATAATAGTAGTGTAAGGCGCGGTCGCCTTTCCTTGAAGAGGACCAGAGCGGAAAGGGTCACAACTCACAGCGGCCTCCTTTCTTTCTCCTGGTACTACCTCCATCGCAGCTCGCACGGTGCTCTGTGTAGTCTTTGCTTTCGCAGCCGACATCATTAGTCCAGCAACCAAAGATGCAACGGCTCTGTTGGTTTTGCTGAAAAAATAAACCGAAACACTGTTCTCACTAAAAAAAATGGATTATAAGAGAAACGAACAGGACCAACACCCGCGGTCCTGGAACGAACAAGCATATGTGCTCGTAACAAAGAGTGCTCGTATAACTAGTGTTGCTTCTTATATGAATGAATATATGTCCATCAGCTTGCGGTGCCTAATCCGTTCTTCGGTTGGTAGGTAGAGGGCTCCTCTCTGTACGTGCAGCGATCAGGGGAGAAAAGCTGAAACGAAATCGATACATAGATGGTGATTGCCACAAAAAATAAAAAAAATGTGATTTTAAATCATCACCATCAATTTTAGCTGCTTCAGGATCAGGTGGCAGAATAACCTACTTGTCCGGGAGACTGGAGCGACGCCGTGCGTGTCCCTGCGCGCTGCGCATGATGGCAACAGAACGACGCGGCCACGAGCATGTGGTGTATGAGAAGGGAAACATTGATTACCGGCGTTTTCCGAATGAAGTTTATACATGGCACTGCCATGTCATAGTCATACTCATATGTACACGGTGGTACGGCCCACTGCCTGTTCTCACCGGTTCGCGAACGGTAATGCTGCGGTGTGGATGTTCGGATGGATGGACGCTAAAATCTCCCACTCCGTCTCGTGCGCTTGCCACAAGCTCCGCTCCCCATCCGCCGCCGCTAGCGGCGACCACCTCTGCTTCCTCCGCCCTGGGACCCTCACCCGCCTCCGCGATGCTAGGCTCCGCCGCTGGAGTCACGCCTCCCACCTGCCCCTGTCCTCATTGACGGTTCGGCACCCTCCTCCTCACCTCCTCCTGCGGCGGCCAGAGACGGTGAGGGCGTCGCGGCCGTGCCGTACTTCGCGCCCACCTCGAGGCTCCTCGCGCCCCAGTGCCCCAGCAGAAGAAGCTCGCGGCGGCCAAGTCCGTGGTTCTCTTCACTCCGCTGCCTCCTAACCCTGATTTGCCCATCGAGGCGGTTATCGAGTTCCTCAACGCGCCTGGCATGGTGGTCACTGCCCACTAGAGTGTCGCGCCTAACATGTTGTAAGAATATGTTTCAAGTGTTTTAGATCTTTTAGAGGTATGTTGCTAGTGTTTCATATAGATGATACAAAAGTAGATCGGGATACTACATATGTTGCGATGGCTATACATGTATGTTGCAAACGTCTTTTTCAAACATTTCATCTATGTTTTCTGATATAAGTTGTAAGTGTGTTTATCTGGATATTGCATATGTTTCACACATATATTGCAGGTGTTTCATCTGGATGTTGCATACGCTTGCAATGGCTTTCAAGTGTTTTCAGGTGTTTTGCAAGTTTTTTGGATGTATGTTGAAGTGTTTTCATCTGCTTCAGACGTATATTGCAAGTGTATCATCTGGACCTTGTAAAAATAGATCGGATGTTGCCCTTGTTGTAATGTGTACGAGAAGCAAATGGGGCGCGAATGACCCCGTGCGTGGTCTAGTGGCCTGGGCGACGCCCCGGCGGCACGGGCCTTGTGGACGCGTGAAGGGGCTGTTTGGTTTAAGCCCTGGTCTAGGGAGCTGCACCCGAGCACATGCATCCGACCTCATGCGTCCAAAAACCAACGCCTGGCATGGTTGTGCCAGGCAGATTTGTCAGGGCGTCAACCAAACTAGCCCGCCGATGGGGGCGTGCTAGCATGAGCACGGACGTACAGTAAAGGGACGTATGGAAAACAGTGCAAGTACGGACGTCTGAAGGTGGGTGTCCATACTCTCGCACTACCAGTTCACAAGAGACGGAACATGGAACCTCACAATAATCCTCCGTCACACTCCCCCGAGTGGTGACTAATAATATCCGACAGTTTCCCTCCACAACTCTCGCGCCATAACGCTGGGTCGTTTTCTGACCCTCCGGCACACGCAGCTGTCGCTATACCCCGGCAGGCGCCACTGCGGGCGGCGTACACGATGTGGCGGCCCCCGGACCCCGGCCCAGACCAACTCATTGGATCGCCCACAGCCACGGTGATGGTGTCCGCGCCCAGAGCCCCTGGCGGCCGCAGCAGCAGCAGGCCAGCAGCCTCGGAAAGCCGCCGCGCCGTGCGTCTGCGCTCCTTCACTGCGTGCTGGATGCCGCCGGTCGCTAGGCCGTGCCTCTCCACGCCCCCGAAATCAATCCCGGCTTTCCGCGCGGTCTCACTGCCGATCCAACCGTACCCGCGCCTTTTCGCGACCCGGCCATGATCCGTCCGTCTCCGTCTCCTCTCTCTCTCTCTCCTGCAAAGAACGTACGCGTGAAGCAAAGCCTCCCCTTTCCGGATCAATCGATCATCCATCTCCATATTCTATTGACATTTTTTTTATGATTGAAAGCTGCATCTGCATATGCTGCTGCTTCATCTTCCCCTTTGCCGTCCCTGTCGTCGTTGCGTACTTTGGATAGCTGGACTTCTTCCCTCCCGCGACCACTTCTGGCTCCCGAGCTTACCTCAATAACTCAGGTCGCCTTGCTTCAACTGTTCAGACAATCGACACCACAGCAACCAAATCTTTTCTTTTCATATGTAGACAGTCACACGCAGAGCTCGGAAGAGAGATATTTCCCTTCTCCATCCATGCACAAACACAACCACTCCGGTAGAGGAGAGAGAGAAAAGCATCAACCGCCGCAGGTTTATACATACAAGCTCGAGAGAGAGCAGCCTTGAGTTTCTACTAGCTAGCTAGCTAGCCGCCATGGGCAACGTGTGCTTCTGCGGCACCACCTCCACGTCTCCTGATCAGCCCGAACCCGACGCCACAGCCAGCAAAGCGCCGCCACATCCACAAGGTGGCCACAAGAGACCGGCGACGCCTCCGAGCAGCCAGCAGGGCAGCAACAGCCAAGAGCCAAGCCCGGGGTCCAACAAGCCCAGACCGAAGGCGAGGCCCAAGGCGGCGGCTACTAAGCCCAACAACCCGTACGACCGGGCTCCGCCGCCGGCGCACGCGTCCAGCGGCGTCGGCGGGGCGTCGGCCTTGGCGCCGCGCGTGCTGGACGGCGTGGTGCCGCACCACCCGCGGCTGCGCGTGATGGACAAGTACCACCTCGGGCGGGAGCTGGGGCGGGGCGAGTTCGGCGTCACGCGGCTCGCCACGGACCGCGCCACGCGGGAGCGCCTGGCGTGCAAGTCCATCCCGAAGCGGCGCCTGCGCACGGCGGTGGACGTCGCCGACGTGCGCCGGGAGGTGGCAATCATGGCGTCGCTGCCCGACCACCCGGCGCTCGTGCGCCTGCGGGCCGCCTACGAGGACGCCGACGCCGTGCACCTCGTCATGGAGCTCTGCGACGGCGGGGAGCTGTTCGACCGGATCGTGGCCCGCGGGAGGTACACGGAGCGCGCCGCGGCGGCGGCCGCCAGGACCGTGGCCGAGGTGGTAAGGGCGTGCCACGCGCACGGGGTCATGCACCGGGACCTCAAGCCCGAGAACTTCCTCTACGCGGGCAAGAGCGACGATGCGCAGCTCAAGGCCATCGATTTCGGACTCTCCGTCTTCTTCAAACCAGGTCAGCCTGCTTGCTGATGTTGTTGGCCTGTCTAAAAAAAATCTACTATTCGATATCTTCAGTTCCATAAAGTGTATATCATCCAACACTCCTAATTCAAGTAGCACAAGATCCTTCAAGATCGAATTGTTAGATTTTTTTGTCAAAATTTTGAGCTTCTAGGCCGGGTGATTATCATATTTCTCGGGACAGAGAGCATTTTCCTTTTATTTTAGTTTGCGTCCGTGTGGTTGTCAAATACTCAAATTTGGCCTCTACGATAATCTTAACCTATTTTGGGTTCTTTCACTCGTTCCTTTTGGGTAAAATACTTAGATGGTTGGCGAATGTTCTCTAGTATAGGAAAATGATTATTTTTAAATCTTGTCCAAACATATGCAAAAAAGGGCGCCTTTAATTTTGCTAGTCTTCAAAGAGCTAATAGTCCTTCATTTTTTTTTAAATAAAACACGTGAAAGTGTGTGATACCGGGACCTTGTTAGGTCGTGGATTTTTCATTACTGCCAGCGCTACACTCTGTTGCACCTAACTTTGGCACACTTCCTGTGAAAGCTTCGGAGAACTATAGGCAAGAAAGTGTGTTTTTATGAGGAAGACACTGCAGTGAGGAACAAGTCCTGTCGCCCGTTTTATTTTGTCTTGAATTTGCCGTGCCTGACGTTTATTTCCGCGTGGAAGCGTCCGAGCGGCTAAGGCAACGATCAAGACAGTTGGACAGTGATAGGGATCCAGCTCGTATATTCAGAAAGTTGACAGCATCATCCGATTTTTTTCTAGAAAAAAATAGTGACGAAAAAGTCTACTCTTTGGTTTTTGGGCAAAACGCTATTTTCACCGGATAATGAGGTCAAACACAAACACTAGTTCGTGACTTGGTTCGTGAACGGTGATCGCACCCCTACGTGTTCTGTCCATGCATCAGGCATGCATGGTGCCACGCCCTGATCCATGACGCTTACACGAAATTTTGTGGATGCAATGGCAACAACAGGCGAGCGGTTCACGGAGATCGTGGGCAGCCCGTACTACATGGCGCCGGAGGTGCTGCGGCGGAGCTACGGGCCGGAGGTGGACATCTGGAGCGCCGGCGTGATCCTGTACATCCTCCTCTGCGGCGTGCCGCCCTTCTGGGCCGAGACGGAGCAGGGCGTGGCGCGCGCCATCCTCCGCGGCAACCTGGACCTGCAGCGGGAGCCGTGGCCGCGGATCTCCGAGGGCGCCAAGAGCCTCGTCCGCCAGATGCTGCAGATGGACCCCAAGAAGCGACCCACCGCGCAGCAAGTGCTCGGTACGTACGCTACGTGTGTGTGTCTTGTTGCTTGTTCGTCCCTCGTGAACGCCGAATCGTTGATGCTTTGTTGGCGCGGCAGAGCACCCGTGGCTGCAGAACGCGCGGAAGGCGCCCAACGTGCCGCTGGGCGACGTCGTCCGGGCGCGGCTGCAGCAGTTCTCCGCCATGAACAAGTTCAAGAAGAAGGCCATGCGGGTGATCGCGGAGCACCTGTCCGTGGAGGAGGTGGAGGTGATCCGGGACATGTTCGCGCTCATGGACACGGACAAGGACGGCAGGGTGACGCTGGAGGAGCTCAAGGCCGGGCTCAGGAAGGTCGGGTCCAAGCTGGCCGAGCCCGAGATGGAGCTGCTCATGGAGGCCGTAAGCATGACTCTCCTTGATCTCATTGTGCAGTTGACACGGGCCTAGAACATTTCAACCTTAAAGCCCAGAGCTGAAAATCAATTCCAGGCCGACGTGAACGGCAACGGGTACCTGGACTACGGCGAGTTCGTGGCGATCACCATACACTTGCAGCGGCTCTCCAACGATGCCCACCTCCGCAAGGCGTTCCTCTTCTTCGACAAGGACAGCAGCGGTTACATCGAGCGCGCCGAGCTGGCCGACGCGCTCGCCGACGATGCGGGGCACACCGACGAGGCCGCGCTCAACAACGTCCTGCAAGAAGTCGACACCAACAAGGTACGTGTCTCGGTGTGTGTCACCTGCAGGTAGCTCAGATCTTACGATGCAATTGCAATCTGAGCTCGGCCCATATGGTCGCAGGATGGGCGGATCAGCTTCGAGGAGTTCGTGGCGATGATGAAGGCCGGGACGGACTGGAGGAAGGCGTCCCGGCAGTACTCGAGGGAGCGCTTTAAGACGCTAAGCAACAGCCTCATCAATGACGGGTCGCTCGGCATGGCGCGATGACAACATGACGATGTGTGTGCTTCAGAGACGATCGATGCGATGAGATGCTTGTTTTTTTAATACATGTGTGCCTATAAAAATTTCTACAACAACATTTAAATCAAGTTGATTGATAAATATAAGACGAAAGCGAATATTGTGCTACTAAAAATACAACCCACCTACCAACAATTCTAACTAATTATTATCACTAAGCATTCAAAGGCTAAGTCACTACTCATTACACTAGTTAAGCTAGCTAGAAAACAACTACAACTAAGAAACTGAGCTACTCAACTACAACTACCACAAGCTCTACGCAAGGTAAATACACAAAGTAATGTAAAAGAGTGGTAGAGAATATATATCGCCGTGGCAAGTGATCAATCAATGAATACCTAAGGATACCAAGGAAACAATGATGACACAATGATTTTTCCTTCAAGGTTCACTTGCTTGCCGGCAAGCTAGTCCCTATTGTAGCGAATAACTCTCTTGGTGGCTCACGCGCTAATAGAAGAAGGGTGGAGGCTATGTGGTCACTTGGGATAGTGATGGCTCATCGGATAGTGATGACTCTAGTGATGATGGCAAGAAATCAATCAAGAAAGCACTAGCAAGCATCGCCATCAACGACAAGCCCTCCATCTTCGACACTCTATCAACATGCATCATGGCTAAGCCTACCAAGGTAAAATATGATGAGAGTGATGATGATGAAAGTGATTCTTGTAGGAGTGATGATGAAGATGAGGAGTACTCCAAGGAGGAGCTCATGGACATGTGTGAGCAAGTGCACGCTTGCAATGAGATGAAGAGAAAGGAGTGCAAAGAATTGCGCAAGAGAGTAAAATTTCTTGAGCAATCCTTTGATGAGCTCAATGCCACTCATGAGGGGCTAGTGGATGCCCATGAGAAGCTTGGCAAAGCTCACTCTAAGCTTGAAAAGGCTCACTCCTCTCTTATTGAGCAAGTTAAGAAGGAGGAAGCCAAGGAGGAGCAAGTGATAGTTACATGTGATGTGGGACTAACATGTGATCTTATTAATGAATCTACTTATAAGCCTATTGCTATTGCTCCCACTAACACCTCTTGTAGCACAACCATTACCACTCCACCTATGAATGATACATCACTAATGGTGGAAAATGAAACCCTCAAGGAGGTGAATGAGCTCACTCGTGCCTTAGGCAATGCCTATGGTGGAGATGCCCGCTTGCTAAAGTGCTTGGGTAGCCAAAGATTTTCTCTCAACAAAGAGGGATTAGGCTATACCCCCAAGAAAGGCAAGGCGGCCTTTGTCACTCCCAAAGCTAGCTTTGTGAAGGACGATGGTCGGTTTTGCAATAGATGCAAGCAAGTTGGGCATATAGAGCAATATTGCAAGATTAACAAGAACAAGCTAACTAATGTATCCTCAATTAAATTTTATTCTTGTTACATGCTTTATAAGGGTGTCAATGGTGTGAATGCTAAGTTCATTGGTACACCAATTGTGGGCCCAAAGAAGAAGGCCATTTGGATACCAAAGACCTTGGTGACTAACCTACAAGGACCCAAGTAAGTTTGGGTACCTAAAAAGAATTAATCTTCTTTTGTAGGTAAATTATAAAGCCGGAGGAAGGCATTGGGTGCTTGATAGTGGGTGCACACAACACATGACTGGTGATTCAAGAATGTTCAATTCAATCAATGAAAGCAAGAGCAATGGGATTGATAGTATCACATTTGGTGACAATGGCAAAGGCAAAGTCAAGGGACTTGGTAAGATTGTTATATCCAATGATTTAAGCATTTCCAATGTGCTACTAGTAGAAAGCTTGAACTTAAACCTATTGTCGGTAGCCCAATTGTGTGATCTTGGTTTCAAGTGCATATTTGATGTGGATGATGTAGAGATCATAAGTGTAGATGGCTCTAACTTGATATTCAAAGGATTTAGATATGAGAATCTATACTTAGTTGATTTCAATGCTAGAGAAGCTCAATTGTCAACATGTTTGATCACTAAGTCTAGCATGGGTTGGTTATGGCATAGAAGGCTTGGTCATGTTGGAATGAAACAATTGAACAAGTTGATTAAGCATGACTTAGTTAGAGGCTTGAAAGATGTCACATTTGAGAAGGATAAGCTATGTAGTGCATGTCAAGCCGGAAAGCAAGTTGGTAATACACATCCTAAGAAGAGCATAATGAGCACATCTAAGGCATTTGAGTTGATGCACATAGACTTGTTTGGACCAACCACATACACTAGCATTGGTGGAAACAAGTATGGATTTGTGATTATGGATGATTTCACTAGATACACATGGGTGTTCTTTCTTGGTGACAAGAGTGGTGTGTTTGCAATATTCAAATCATTTGTCAAGGGCATTCACAATGAGTTTGAAACAACCATCAAGAAAGTTAGAAGTGACAATGGTAGTGAATTCAAGAACACTAGAATTGATGAGTTGTGTGATGAATTTGAAATTAGACATCAATTCTCGGCCAAGTATACTCCTCAATCAAATGGGCTAGTTGAAAGAAAGAATAGAACCTTGATTGATATGGCAAGATCAATGTTGAGTGAGTACAATGTGAGTCATTCATTTTGGGCCGAAGCAATCAACACGGCTTGCTATTATAGCAACCGACTCTATTGTCACCCCATGATGGAGAAGACACCCTATGAGCTATTAAATGGAAGAAAGCCCAACATAGCATACTTTCGGGTTTTTGGATGTAAATGCTATATATTGAAGAAAGACACTAGATTGAGCAAGTTTGAAAAGAAATGTGATGAAGGGTTCTTGCTTGGTTACTCCACTACAAGCAAGGCTTATAGAGTTTGAAATTTGGCTAGTGGTACTCTTGAGGAGGTTCATGATGTGGAATTTGATGAAACAAATGGTTCCCAAGAGGAAGATGAGAATCTAGATGATGTGAAAGGCACTCCATTGATCAATGCAATGAAGCACATGGACATTGGTGATATAAGGCCTAGAGAGGTGATTGATGTTGAAGATAACAAGAATCAAGTGCTCTCTAACTCAAATGTGCAAGCTAGTGGTTCTCATGATCAAAGTCAAGCAAATACTAGTGATAACAATGTGCAAGATCAACAAGTGGCTAGTTCATCATCTCAACCAAATGCTAGAAATCAAGTGCAAGTGCTTCAACCAACCAATGTTGCAAGAGATCATCCATTGGACACTATCATTGGTGATATTTCAAGAGGTGTGCAAACTAGATCAAGATTGGCATCATTTTGTGAGCACTTCTCATTTGTGTCATCCATTGAGCCTAAGAAGATAGATGAAGCTTTGAATGATGTTGATTGGGTCAATGCTATGCATGAAGAGCTAAACAACTTCGCAAGAAACAAAGTATGAGAGCTAGTTGAGAGGCCTAAAGGTCATAATGTGATTGGAACAAAGTGGGTCTTTCGGAACAAGCAAGATCAAGATGGGATAGTAATAAGAAACAAAGCAAGATTAGTGTCTCAAGGTTACACTCAAGTTGAAGGTCTTGACTTTGGAGAAACATATGCCCCGGTTGCAAGATTGGAAGCAATTAGGATCTTGTTAGCCTATGCTTGTGCCCACAACATCATGCTATATCAAATGGATGTGAAGAGTGCATTTCTTAATGGGTACATCAATGAGCTTGTGTATGTTGAGCAACCTCCCGGTTTTAAAGATGAAAAGAAACCCAACCATGTTTACAAGTTGAGAAAGGCTTTGTATGGATTGAAACAAGCACCTAGAGCATGGTATGAGAGATTGAGGGATTTCCTACTCTCTAAGGGATTTAAGATGGGAAAGGTTGACACCACTCTCTTCACCAAGAGACTTGGAAATGATTTGTTTGTCATGCAAATCTATGTGGATGATATCATATTTGGATTAACAAATCAAGAATTTTGTGAAGAGTTTGGAAAGATGATGACAAATGAATTTGAGATGTCTATGATTGCAGAACTTAGTTACTTTCTTGGTCTTCAAATCAAGCAAATGAAAAATGGAACATTTGTAAGTCAAGGCAAGTACATAAAGGACATGCTAAAGAAGTTTGGAATGGATGATAGCAAAGCTATTAGTACACCCATGGGGTCAAGTGGAAGCTTGGATAGTGATGCTAGTGGCAACATGGTGGATCAAAAGATGTATCGGTCTATGATTGGAAGCCTACTCTATGTGACCGCATCAAGACCGGATGTGATGTTTAGTGTATGCATGTGTGCTAGATTTCAAGCCTCACCAAGAGAAAGTCATTTGAAGGCTACTAAGAGAATATTGAGGTACTTGAAGCATACACAATATGTTGGATTATGGTATCCCAAAGGAGCAAGATTTGAATTGATTGAATATTCGGACTCCGATTATGCGGGATGCAAAGTTGAGAGAAAGAACACATCGGGCACATGTCAACTATTGGGAAGATCACTTGTATCTTGGTCATCAAAGAAGCAAAATAGTGTAGCACTTTCAACCGCCGAAGCGGAGTACATTTCGGCCGGTAGTTGTTGTGCACAATTACTTTGGATGAAGGCCACTTTGAGTGACTTTGAAATCAAGTTCAAGCAAGTGCCATTGCTATGTGACAATGAAAGTGCCGTCAAGCTCACCAACAACCCGGTTCAACACTCAAGAACAGAGCATATTGATGTCCGCCATCATTTCATAAGAGATCACCAACAAAAAGGGGACATTTACATAGAGAGTGTGGGCACCGAAGATCAACTTGCCGACATATTCACCAAGCCACTTGATGAGAAGAGGTTTTACAAGCTAAGGAATGAATTGAACATACTTAACTTCTCCAATATGTGTTGATGCACCCCCCACTATATGACATGCCTCTCCTTCGAGCAAAGTAAGGTAAAGTTGATTGACATGTCATCCATTCATCACTAAGGACTTGTTTAGAGCATCTTGTCATTCCTATCATGTCCTAGGCTCATTCATGAAAATCAAATGAATTTGATGCTTATATGGTACCACTATTGCTTGTATGTTTGAAATGATCTAGTGGTA